GGTTGGGTGGATGGATGGATGTGTGGGTGGGTGGGTGGATGGTTGGATGGTTGGATGGATGGATGGGCATAGGTATGTTTGTATGGTTAGGTGGGCTTATGTATGTATGGTTGGGTGGGTGGATGGATGGATGGTTGGTTGAGTGGAAGGATAGATAGATGAATGAATGAATTCATGCATGTGTGGATGAGTGCATGCATACATGGATGGATGGGTACTTGGATGCATGGATGGATGGTGGAGAATGGATGAAGGACAGACAGGCAGATAGTCAGCATATTTCCTGGGACCATCTCTTAAATAAACTATGCATGCCCAAATCCTTGTCACAGGGTCTGCTTCTAGGGGAGCTGACTGGATATGCAATAATGCCTTTCAATGGTAGGGGACTGAAAGGTTGTCAGGACTGATGAACAGAGTCTGAGGAGGAAAAGGGGGAAGGAGGCTGCAGAGCTGGGCAGCATTGAGGAACTGGACTCTCTGGGGCAGTGGAAAGGTTTCAAGCCAAGGAGTCACATGACGGAGGCCACATGGGTACCTCTCTCTGACTCCTGCAGACCCCGCCATCTCTCCTGTGCCACATGGGCCTCCTTTCTGTCCTTTGAACACTGTAAGCTCACCCCCTCTTGAGACCTTTTGCACTTGCCATGCCCTTGATTAGAGTATGCACCTGGCTGGCTGACTTGGGTCTCAGCTTGAACTTCACCTGCTCAGTGAGGCCTTCCTTAATCAGTCGGTCTAAATTCGCCCCGTGCACTCCAGCCACTTTTTCAGAGCACTCACACAACCTGACCATATCCTGTTCATGTCTGAGTTTATAGGCTGTGAGCTCCAAGATGGACAAGCTTCGTGGTCTTGTTCCCTGCTCTATTCCCAGCTCCTACAACTGGGCCAGGCTCCTAGCAGGTGTTTTTTTTATTTTTCTTTGGGTAACCGACCTAATTCTTCTCCTTGGAGACCTCAGACCCGGCTGCCCCACACACTTTCAGCTCAAACTTCACCATCACCGGGCAGATGCAGCTTCCCGGCCCCCCGACGCCAGTGTCCCAGATCAGGTGTCCACTCTGGGGCCAGACAGCTGTGGCTGGGAAGCTTGGACTCCTTGGGCATACGGGGCTGCCTTGCCCACGGCTGGGGACAGTGTGCTCACCAGGAAGGTGGCAACGGCTGGCATAGGACAGGACCCGCAGGAGGTGCTCAGGAACTGTATATAGGAGCTGTATACACAGCACGATGTCTAAAGCCATCCCTTATCACTGCATCCTCAGCTGTCCCCTCGGCTAGGGGAGAGCCTGGGGCATCTGCGGGCAGCCTTGTTCTACCGAGGCAGAAGACAGGACCTCTCCAAACCCCATCATCAAGAAGCTGCCGTTTGCCAGTGCCCTGGTTGGAACCGTCCCTAACAGCTCAGGCCCCGGCCGTGTGGGGGCAGATGCCTGTTCTCAGCATATGTGCAGAATATCACTTTATGCATTCATAACTTGAACATTAAGCAGAGGTTCATCAAATTTTATTTCCCTTCCTCTCTGAGGAGAGCATTTCAGCTTAGCTGGGCTGTTCTAATTATTTATTTAGTTATTTATTTGGTGCTTCCCCACAAAGCTCAGAGCATGTGGATCTCTCCCAGCACAGGTCTGCAAGTGGCCCAGCAGCAGCAGGGCTGAAATCCTGCACTGGCTAGTGTCCCCAGAACTGTAGCCACAGACACCAGGGGAGAGATCTGAGGGGCCCACCTGCCTAGGTTTTCCCCTTCTTGGGGGTTGGGGGGTGGTGGAAGGAGCAGGGACTTCGGGAAAGCCTCAGTCTGAGTGCATGGTGTTCCAGACCTGTGGCTTCACTGCTGTGTGACTTGGGGCAAGGCACTAAGCCTGTCTGGGCCAGTGTCCTCTGACCTCCAGCGGGAGAGCCCAGAGCCGTCAGCGTCCTGGGAAGTCACACTTTGATAATGCAGGTAATGCGCTGGGCACAGTGCTGCATTTTGTATCTGTGAGTCTGTTTCTTCTGCTGCTGATGTGATATAGAAAGCTTAGTAATGATGAGGACGATTGGCTTAGGAGACGGCATTTTAGGCATTAGGAATCTAATAACCATATTAATAACCACAGCAGTCATAGGGTGCCTGCCCCTTGCCCAGCACTCTTCTCTCTGCTCCAGGTATGACTCAGTGAATTCCACCACGCCTCTGGGAGGTCATAGGTACTATTGTGTCCCCGTTTTATAGATGTGAAATCAAGGCACAGAGAGGTAAAGTGACTTGTCTAAGGTCACACAGCTGGTAAGTGCCAGAGTTGGGATTTGAAGCAGGCCACAATCAGTCTTGTGACGTGTGGCCTCTCGGGACTGGTCAGCAGGCTCTGCCCGGCACTGAGGAGGGAGCTGGGCTTGCAGGGGTGAATGAGGGGAGTCCACTGAGGGCTCACAGTATGAGGGTGGGTGTGGTGCCCAGGGAGAAGGTGCAGGGTCTCCCAGCTGTGCCCACTGTTCCTGCCCACTTCACCAGGCCTCTCCCTCTGTGCTCCTGATAGGACAAGATGCCACTCTGTGGGGGCTGATGGGGCAGGGAGGGCCTGGTCTGCTGCCGCAAGCCACCCCCTTCTCTTCCAGTTTTCTCTGGGGGAGCCTATGCACGTCTCCGGACTAACTGGGCAGATTCTGAACAGTTTTCAGGGGTTTTGAAATGCAGGTGTGTGTGTGCACGCATGCATTAGTGTGTGCACAGGGAGGCCAGTGTGCACGCATGTGAACCAGGGACTGGGGAGCCTACCCCTGACTCTGAGCGGCTGCTTAGAGAAACGTCTGGAATTAAGCGCTCCCCAGGTCCCCTGCCTGCCATCCCCAAGGAGGACCTCTTAATGGGGCCTCGGAGGGGAAGGTCGGAAGCTGCCAAATGAATGAAAGATAAATATTTGCAGACCCGGCTTTCCTGAATGCTTAATGTTCGGATCTGCTTTAACAACTCGTGGAGGAGAGCCAGACCTGTTGGATTGGACCCCGGCAGGGATTCACAGCCACAGGGAACAGCCACCATGCCTCCCTGGGGGAAGCTGCCGGGGTGGGAGAGCGAAAGTCTGGGAGCTTCCAAGGGGGGAATAGCAGGTTGGGTGGCCTCCTGCCTGTGGAATCAGGTCACCGGCCTTCGCCTTGCTCTGTGACGTCCCACTCTCTGAACTTACTTGTTAATTTATTTACCACTTGGTTTGTCCCTGCCTCCTTCCTGTGTGCACACCACGAGAGAAAATGGACAACAGTCTTTCTGGTTTCTGCTGGATCAGGCACCTAGTAGCTCAGGGGCTCAATAAGTTGTGTTACTAACTCTTCATAGTAATTACATTGTTACCCACGATGCAGAGCGGGACTGGACTTCCTATGGCTGTTCCTGGGCCTGGCTGTGGGTGCACTCATTTAACCTTGGATGCCCTCCATAAGAAATCGACCAGGTTGAAATTAACTCCGTAATTTACTAACTGTGGGTCACTTCCGCTCCTGCAGCCTCTATTTTCCTGGCTGGAAAATGGGCTGGCACCCTTCCTCACAGTTTTTTTTTGAGGATTACATGAGATGATGCAGTGAAGTTTCACTTTATAAAACTGGGACTTCCCCTTTCCCTGCTCACACCCCTTCCAGAAACCTCCCTCTGAATGGCACAAGGAAGACACTCCCTGCCTGAGAAAGGAACCCAGAACACACCGTAAGCTGGCGGCCCTTGGAGAATCATGCCGGAAGATGTGCTTTGCTTGGTCCCTATGGTGGTTTAAAAATGTTTAAATTTTGGCTGAGTTTTAAGAATCAGAATCGCCTTAAAACGCCAAGGTTTTTGCTTCGCATGAGAAAGCGGAGGGTCTGGCTGCACTGGGCTCCCGCTCTCACATGGTATTGTTGGGCTGGAGTGAGCGGCAGCATCCTCCCTGGGAGGCCCCCAGGCTTGCCCATCACCTGCCCTGCTGCGGGGTCTACGGAGCACGGCAAGGTACCATTGCTGGGTCTCCTGGAGGTGACGGCAGGCCGAGGGCCCAGGCCCAGCCCAGGGCAGCTGGAGGATAAAAGAGCTTTCAGAGATGAGACCCTTGAGCCAAGTTTCCAGAGGCACGTGCAGCGTTCGCCAGCCAGATGGGCAGCGGGTGAGAGAAGGCGTTCTTAGGCACAAGCAGCAGCACGGGCAAAGGCCCAGAGGGGGAGCACACAAGTGGATTTAGGAAACTCTGAGCAGTTTGGTTTGATTTATGAGTGGGAGTTGGACCTGAGTCTCTGATCTCTCTCATCCTCCCACAGCACTGGGGTGGGGGCTGGCGGCCCCAGAGAATTTAAAAATTACCGGCTTGAGACCCATGGAGTAGCAACCCTCCCCAGGCCTCCTTCCTGGGTTGCACGCAGCCCTCACTGGGCCTCGAGGCAGGCATGGAGGAGCCAGACCTCAAGAGGGGGGAGATAGGCACAGACTTGAATGATTCCTACCCTATTGAGGGCCTGACACCCCCCTTTGCCCATCTTCCTGCTTGGTATGGTGGGGGGGGCTCTCTGCTGTCTGCCCTCCTGTCCATTGTAGGGACACTCTTGGAAGGGCCTGTCTCCACTTTGTCCCCTCTCTCTCATAGCACACAACCTGCTGCCCCAAACAGCTCCCAGGGGCCCTGACCCTCTGCACACGCACCCCTCCCTCAGCCCCGCTGGCCGCTCCTCCCCTCCCCTTCTTCTGTTAAATGGCAATGCTCCCAGGGCTCTTTCTGGGCCCTTCTCTGTCCTCATTTGACACAAGCCTCAGTGGCCACATGTGTGCCAGGATTCTCGCATTCTTAGTCCACCCCAGACCGCCCGACTCCGTAGACATTTCTTTGTTGCTTCTACTTTGGATTCTCAAAAGCACCAAAACCTAGCATGGCCGGGACCGACTCATGATGGTCTCCTCCAAACCCAGACCTATTGCCATGACTCTCTGCCCCCTATGGTCCTGCGCATGCGAGCCACACCCCTGTGAGCCCTACATGGTTTTCCCGCATCTGGCCTTACCCCTCCCATCCGCGTCCCCTCCCCAGCGGGATGCCCCTTCACTGTGCTACTAAGCTCAGGACACCTCTGCCCCAGTTTTCTGCCTGAAACACCACAGCGATTTCTGCTCACTGTCACATACGCGGCCAAGCCACCTAGCCTCACCGAGACCCTGGTCCCCTTTCCTGTGCGCAGCACTCCTTGGGCCCTTGCAGTTCCCTAGCGGGTGGTTCTGCCTGCGGGTAGCCACTGGACTACTGTCCTCTCTGCCAGGAGACACCCCCCCCCCCCCCGATCTGCCTTGCCAGCTTTCATCCTTCAGGTGTGCCTCCAGCTTCGACCCTGAGCGAGACAGACCCCTCTCTGACCTGTAACAGCCCCGTGAACTGTCCCCCACCTCGCTCAGCTCTAACCTTGTAGTTCCTGGGCAGTGTCCCACAGAACAGGGACCCATGTCTGCCGCCCTATTTCCTTCCCCACCAGGGGGATGGATGGAGACAGTGAGGAAGAGCAGAGCGGAAAAAGCCTCTTGGGCAGGTCACTGGCCAGTCAGATAGGCCAAGTGACCTTTGCTGCCTGGGAGCTGTCCATGGTCTTGCTTGTGTGACCAGTTCCCCAAGCCAAGTTCAACAGCCCCACGCCTCAGGTGTGCCCACCTCCTCGCAGGCCGAGGAAGGAGCTTTGTAGATAACCCAAGTCTTGAGGCTTTCATGCATTGTAGGAGCCCCATAGAGGTCATGAAAGGTGGGGTGGGGGGGTCCCACATGTGCTAATGATTATTTGTTTTTATAAATCACAATTTCTCACCCGTGCAGTTCTGAAAATAATCTCGAGGTGCTCGTATCTGGAGATCTCAGTTAAAAACCCAGTCCTGGGGACTCCTGGGTGGCTCAGTTGGTTAAGCCACTGCCTTCGGCTCAGGTCATGATCCCAGGGTCCTGGGATCGAGTCCCACATTGGGCTCCTTGCTCGGCAGGGAGCCTGCTTCTCTCTCCACCTCTGCCTGCCTCTCTGCCTACTTGTGCGTGCTCTCTCTCTCTCTCTCTCTCTCTCTCTGACAAATAAATAAATAAAATCTTAAAAAAAAAAACAACCCAGTCCTGGAGAGACGGGAGAGTAAAGTCAAGTGCACGGAGCAGTCAGCGGGGGCATTGAGAGCGTGGATGTTTATCTTCTCTCTTACTTTCCCCACATGTTTCGTATCATGATGTTATTACTCAGAAGATGGGAAGAGCAAAAAAAAAAAAAATCTTTTTAAAAAATCCATTTATCTCCCCCTATCTTGGAATGACACATTTGATATGATGTTATGGAATCTTAATTTCCTACTTACAGTCATTGATTTGCCAGCGTTTCTCTTAATTCCAGCCTGTATTCCACGGCAAGTGGAATTTTGTCCTTTCAAAATCAAAGGGCAAAACGTGTCCTTTGTCCTTTTTCCTCTGTGACCGTCCCCTAGATAGTTAGCCTCTGAGACGTGTTCGGTCACGGCACCATCTCGCCGCCTGTTTTCACTTTCATGGCCTGAATATTACTTCTCAGCGACGCTGTGCCTTTCCTTGCCCTTTGTGGGGGTCCTTTGAAATCGCCATGTACTCTGGAGAGGACTGTGGCAGCACCCGGAAATGAGAGGTGGCGCCGTGAAGACTGCGGGACCCTTGGCCGGCCGACACAGCGTGAAGGAAGAGCCGGAAACACAGATGGGCCCTTGAGTGGAAATCGGTCAGAAGGACGTGGGAGAACGTCTGGAAGGAATGGCCACTTCTGAACTCCCAGCTGGAGGGGATGGGGAAGCAGGAGGGACTTGGTGAGGGGACCTCTGGGCACCCTCCAACCCCACTGTCATTGTGGCCAGCCCTTAGGTGTTGCCCCTGTGTAGCTTGGACCCTGGGGAGGCCACTGGAAGCCTGGACACCGAGGGCGACTGGGCCGGAGCTTAGCAGAGCCCCACGTGCGACTAAAGCCAAGGGTCCAGTGCCTGGTTCTTCTGTGATCCGGGGCCAACAGTGTGGGCCTTACCCAGGAACCTGTGAGAACACAGAGTCTCAGGTCCTGCCCCAGACCTGCTGAACCAGACTAGCCCATCCATGACTGGCGAGCAAGGTCAGGCTCAGAAAATGTCAGGCTGGAGGGCGGAGCAGGTGCTCAGAAGGTGGGCGTGGCTAGAGGCTGAAGGAAGGGCCCCCACCTCCCAGCCAGCACCAACCAGAGCCCATCTGCACACTTCCATAGTGACATGAGGACAGGAGTTGGTAGGAGTTTGAAAGATTTCTCAGAAAGCTGAGATGGCTGGGACACCCAAGCTTGCCATCGAATGTGGTTTTTTCCCCCATTTCGTTTTCTAGTTACTCATTTTTATTGTATTTTATTTAAAAAAAAAATGGTCCAAGGTAGATTGGAAATTAAGGTGGCAGGGGACACCTAGTCCTTTGTCAGACAGATGGAGACGCATGCACGGGCTGTGGACTGCCAGTTCCTACTGGGAAGTGGCTGGAGGCTTGGGAAACAAGCCAGCCCAGGGACGGCGAGAGAGGGTCTGGCTTTGAGGATGGTACTGACAAGACTGCAGGGGACAGAGAACGTTCTGGAAGGGCTGTGCTGGCGAGGTGCTGGGGCTGCTGTCCCAGCAGAGAGAAGACCCGGCAGGAACCCCTGTGTGTGGTGACCTGACCTGCTGTGGCCATGTTTGGCCCAGGAACTAGGCGGGCAGGTACTTGGGGGTCCTCCTGAGAAGACGGGGCAGTGGCTCTGGTCCCCCCGCAAACCATCGGAGCCTCTCCGCCTCCATCTCTCCCCGGCATCCATCTCTTTTCTCAGAAGACAGCCAGTACCCAGCCGCAGCCCGATTCTGGAAGCTATGGGGCCCTGGGGCGGTGGCTGCGTGACTGTGCCGTCACCCCCTGCACAGCTGTTGGCACATCTGCCTGCAGTTCTCAGAGCTGGAGTTGGATGGTCCCCGCTTCCCTCTGGGACCTCACAATGCAGGTTGGGGGGACCCAGGGTGGGTGGGACTGAGAGTCCCTGGCCACCTGGGGGTCTGCGGGGCACAGTGGGGACACCCTGGAGATGCAGGCACTGATAAGCCGGAATTCAGCCGCACACCGCGTGCACTTGTCTGCCCCGCGGCCCCACAGTCAGTGACGTCACACTGCTGCCTTTCCGTCCGCCACGCTGGGAGTGTGTACGGACACCGCAAAGCCGGGCTCTTGCCTCCTGTCCGAGAGCTGGCCGTTAACCTTTACCGGCCCCCCACTGAATGTGGGCAAGTCCCAGGGCCACATCAGTCTCGGTTCTCCTCCTGTAAAATGGGGATGATGGTTAATGGTGGTGGCAGCAGTGACTTTGGCTGGGACATAGATCTGAGTGGGTGCAAACAGACCCCAAATAATGAAGATTTAGACAGTTTACGAGTGTATTTTGTTCTCACTTGAAAGGCTGGGCGGGTATTGCGGTTCCTGTCGCCTTCACCCGGGGCTCCTCCCCCCTCACTAGGCACCAGCCTAGCTTCTGCCCTGACTCTCCTTGTCCCCAGTTTGTGAAGACTCTGTCTCTTCTGGGATGGAAGGCTGCGTATGACTCCCCGTGGGCGCTCTCTGCCCTCAATCTGCTTCTTCCAAAACACCCCTTTCCAGAGGCGGCGCATGGCTCAGGTCTGATGGAGCGGAAGGAGAGGGGGCATGGCTTTGGTGGAGGGGCTCCGGGGTGGGGATTGGTGAACATGTTAAAATACCGGAACCATGAGAAGGGGTCACAGATGGACAGACCATAAAGGTCCCCGGAGATGAGGTGGATGACGACCATGGTGATAAGGATGTGACGAGCACTCCAGATGCACTCGGCTTCCCACGGGCTCATTCGTTTACTCCTCTAGCCACCTTGAGAGGCTGGTGCACTATGATGCCCACTGATCAGAGGAGGAAGCCACACGGGTGGGTGGTCAGGACATGTCCAGACTCAAGTGGCTTTCACAGAGGTGATGCCCGACACCCATGGAGGGAAGCACACAGCGGGTTCACGGAGGACAGCCGTGTTCACTGCAGACTGGGTGCCCCTCCTGAGCAAGGCTTCAGTCCCAGCACTGTCCCCCCCCCCCCCCCCTTTCCCCCTTCAAGGCACTTGTAGTTAATTTCTTGCACCACCTTTAAAAAAAAAAAAAAAACTGTCTTCAGAAAGCTCGTAATATTTCCTGCAGGAAATCGCAGTTCAAAATCAAATATAATTGTCACCTAGTGCCATTTCCCATTGGTCTTCTCTTTCTACACAGAGCTCAGCACCCCAGATGTTCCCCACGGGGGCTGCTCTTAGCCTTGGGCTGCATGTGCTCTTCCCTCTCTCTTCCTTGCCTGCAAACACTCCTGGGGATGCCTGGTGCCAAGCACCAGGCTAGACCCTGGGGCCTCCAAGTGGAGAACGAGATAAACTCCATCCCCTTCTCTTGGACTTTAAAATGTACCGGGGAAGCCCGCCGATTAAGTGAGTTTAGAAACCGTGGTGGTTAAACTGTTTGGAGCCCTGGCTCTGTGCCAGGTACCGGGCTCCGGGGTCCACAACCACCAGCGGGGTGCTGGTGTTTGTCCTTATTGTCGTGCTTAGCACCGTGTGCCCATTGCCATGTAGAACCTTCTAGACCATAGGGTTCAGAGCAGTCAGGTGAGCTGCACACGCCATGCTGCTTGGGAATAGCAGAGCTGCCCTCAGCCATGATCCCTCCTCCCTACAGGGCCCAAGGGCTCATTCATGCCCAGAAGATCCCTGTGTCCTGTTTCTTACCGGGGAGTGCTGGGGGCTATGGGAGGGTCCTCAGCTCTTGTCATAACCACTGACACGCCTTACCCCTCACCAGATGGCTCCCAAGCGCCTGCAGATTACTTCCATTGATGACTCTGGTACTCAAACCCAGCACGAGGCCTCCAGTATTTGCTGGCTAATTGGCAGGTGTTCTCTGATCTGCTAACTATTGAATTCTGGGCTTCCTGGTGCCAGGTCTGGGATCCCAGGGAATGGGAGGGACCAGACCAGGTGGGGCTGCCTCTCTCTTTAAACCCCATCTCCTGTGCTCACTGGCCCCTGTTCCTAGGGCCAAGGCTCCCTGCAGAGCCCAAGGGAGGTGCCCAGCATGAGGCTTGGACGGGATGATTTCAGAAGATAAGAAACCCTGAGAACTGGGAACCTGGGGTCGGTGGAGTAATGGTTCAAGGTTAAGGCTGAGAGATGCAGGAGGATGTGTGAGGCCTGTATGTGGTGGGGCAGGTATCTGTTGACCCCGAGGCACTGGGGATGCCCAGGCAGATGGCACTCTGAGATAGGGATGGGCTCAGTTACATGGTCCAGCCTCCACGCAGTGTTTGCAGTGTCATGATTGGTGGTATTCTTGTCTTGATTACCTCTGGGGATGGGGAGCTCAGCATCTTTCCAGATACACATGCAGGACTACTTTTAAGAGTGTCAAACTCTTAAAAAAAACAAAAAAACCCTAAGTGTCTGTCAGTAGGGGGTTGAATATTAACTATTCTCCCCCATACAACATGAGGGAAAAGGTAAGTGAGATTTACGTATACTGACATGGAACGATGCTGGAAATTTGTGGGTAAGGATAAAACCAGGTTATGAAATCATGTTTAATTTGAGGCTGTATGTGTTTAAAAAAAAAGTTTTAATTCTGAAATGATAAACACAAAGCTCCTAGCGGTGGTGAAGCCACCACAGGGAGGTGTCGTTATAAGGGGGGACTTCTGCTGTATGAGTGGGAGGTTGTTTTTTTCTTTTTCTTTTTCTTTTTCTTTTTTTTTTTAAATAAGCCAGTGCTCTCTGGAAAATAACAAAGATGTTTCTACTAAAAGATGCAAAAAAAGAAAAGAAAAGGACATCTTTCCTTGTATGGAACCTTCCCACAGCATCAACTATCTACAGTATATACGTGCCTTCCTGTAGGTTTAGCCCTTAGGGCTTTGTGCTGCCATTGGGAAGCAGCTGGGCCGTAGAAAATACTTGTCAAAGACCCACTTGTGTTAGAGTTTGCTCCCTGGAAAGCACAGCCTAGCCCCTGGGTCCAGATGGCATGGGGAGTCTCAGGTGGCGTTATACAACGCTTATCACGGTCTCCCTCATGTGCACACTGTCGTCTACTGGACCGGAGGCTCTGGGGGCAGACCGTGAGATATACATTTCGGCAGGGCACACAGCGTCTGGAGTAAACGGCCCAGAGCAGGGCCTCTGGACATTCCTGGTGAATGAGTGAGCCAGCGGTCTGAGGGGACCAGAAGGATCAGTGCAGGAGTATTTCTGTCCCTTCTACTAGGCATCTGCAATGGCCTGGTTGTCATCTGTCACCGTCCCCATACCTCCTTCTCTAGCCTCACGCTCTGGACACAGCTGGGCAACTCGAAATAAGACGTGATGGCAAGAACCAGAAAATGGGCCTGGGGCATTTGCTTGGGTGGGGACTGAGACTTCCTTGCAGGAGAGAACAGAGGATATCCATGCAAAGAAGAGGTGGGAGGAGGAATGCAAAGCAAGTAAAAGGCCAAGAGGAGTTGAGGAAAGATCTAAGAACGAGCGTGGCTGCAGACAGGGAATTGGGAACACTTCCGGTGTTGTTCAGCAGATACGAAAGTGATTGGCAGTGTTTCTACTTCTGGGGACCAGAGTGTGTTCCTCTTACAGGGACGCACTCCTGGACTGGACCGCGTGGGGCTCCGCAATGTATTCGGGTTACATGGGGGCGAGCCCAGTGGGGGAACACAGCCCCGCCCATTCCCCAGGCCGGGTCAGCGGCGGGATGAGGGTGAGGGCTTAGGTCTGCGGTTGCCTGCGCCCAGGCCCTTGTTGGCTCAGCATTCCCTGCCCCACCAGTTCCAGCCCCGTCTGGAATTGGACTGGTCACATTAGCTTTCAGTGCCTCAGTTTCTCCATGGACAAAACAGAGATCATGGCACCCATCTAATAGGGCCGTGGTAAGGGTCTTGGCAGCGGCCATGGCCCAGGTTGCTTTGCGCAGGGTTCCCAGAGGGAAAAGACTGTACTTTTCAGGTCCTGGGCCTCTGCCAGCTCAGCTTGCTCTCTCTGACACAGGCTTTTGGGTCCTTTTCTTTCCAGGATCGAGAAGGGGGATGGGCACGAGGAGGAGGACCTGCGCTTAGACTGTCGTCACGAGAGATACACTGCCCGTAAGTGGCCACGTCTGCAGCACCCTGCCCGCACCATCCGAGGGGAGGGGACCCTGGGGATGAGCCAGGCCGACCTCTCCCTGCAGCCCTGCTTGGTCCCGCAGACACACACTGCAGGTGGGGAAACTGAGGCTGGCGTCTTGGCATAGCCAGTCCCCCGCACCCAGAAGCTGTGGCCCTCTCACAAGGGAGATGGGATGCTAAGAAATTGAGGGGGGATGTTGGGTGCTTCGGGGCAGGCTGGTGAGCCCCAGCTCAGGTCCAGGCTGAGTGGGCTGTTGGCCAGAAGGGGGAACAGCCCCAGGGTCTGACTAGCCAAGGCAGGGAGGGGACAGTGGTTGGGACTCGTGTGGGCTGCAGAGGCTCCTGGCAGCTCGGAATGCATTGGCTTCGTAGCCTCACTGTGGGGGACACCACAGACAGAATCTAGGGCACCCATTAGGAAAACAAATGCCTGGACCAGAAAGCAAAGGTTGGTGAAAGGAGAGAAAGGGCTGGGGCGCCTGGGTGGCTCAGTGGGTTAAGCCTCTGCCTTCAGCTCAGGTCATGATCTCAGGGTCCTGAGCCTGCTTCCCCCTCTCTCTCTGCCTGCTTCTCTGCCTACTTGTGATCTCTCTCTGTCAAATAAATAAATAAAATATTAAAAAAAAAAAAAAAGGAGAGAAAGGGCCTTGCTCTGGCCGGTAAAAGAAAGAGGCGACGTGAGATTAACGTTAAAATGGCAGAAACTCAGCTCAGCCTGCGGAAGGCCTGACATGGACTCCCCACCCACCACACCCCCTTCCAAGGGCTTTTCGTGCCTGACCTCCTGGGTTCGCTGGCCCACAGCCCCGACAGCTGGGATTACAAGCCACGTTGTGCAGATGAGGAAATTCAGACTCAGAGAGGTGGAGTAGCTTGTCCAAGGTCACACAGCACGGAGGCTCACAGTAGAGCAGTTCCAGCAGACACTGTCCATGCCCTGCCTGTGTCTCCCAGACCTTTCAGGACCCTCCAGTGCCTTCCAGAGGCCAGTATCTGCATCTTCGTGCCTGCGGGCTTCTCCCACCTGTACTCCCAGAAGCAGAGGGGACCAGGGAGCAGAAATCTCTCTGAGGGGCTCCGGAAGCCCATAGGAGGAATGAAGGCTGAGAACACCGGTCCAGTGTCGCAGGCTTCTGTTTGGGCCCAAGCCTCCCTACGCTCCCTGCAGAACGGACAGGCAACCCTGGGTGGAAGGAGGCCCTGGGGCTGGTCTTGGGGACAGGGAAGCCCAATCCCCGAAGCCAAAGGATGAAGAAAGAGTTGAAGGGACCCCGTCAGGCTCTAAGAGCAAGCACTGGAATTAATGAGGACACTCAGGGTCGGGGC